TAACATTAGCTACAATATCCTTAGTACCACGACCCCTTCTAAAACCAGCCTGAACTTCTGGCAGTTCTCTGCTGATGTGCTGTTCCAGTTGTTTTTGGATAATCTTTAGTAGAATCTTGGTAAGGCTGAAGTCCGCAAGAGGAGGGGGGAGGACTGTAGAAGGGTAAAACCACTCTGGAAGGCAGTTTGGTGCTTCCTCAAAAAGCTGGACATAGAAATTCCATATAACTTAGCTATTTCATTGCTTCAAATATATCCCAAGAAAATGAGAACTGAGGCTCAAATGGAAACCTGTATACCAATGTTCTTAGCAGCATTATTCACCATTACAAGAACATGGAAACAGCCCAGATATACAACCACAAACAGTTTGAGAAGTTGTGGTACATTCACACAATGGAATACTATGCAGCACATAGGGTCAATGATTTTGTAAACTACTACCAAACTTGGGAGGGACTGGAGAACATTATGCTGAGTGAACTAACTCAATCTCACAAGGACAAATGCTGTATAAGACCATTATTATAGAATAAGTATGAGGCTCCAAGGTGGGGGGTGGGGGGAGGGAGTTTGGAAAAAGAGGGGATGGATAGGTGTTGGTGGGGTATGGTCTTAATCATAGGTTTGAACAATTCGATGGGTTGGTGGGATGAAGGAAATGGAAAGAATCTTTTGTGAAAAACAATGTACTGAAACTTTGTAAACAAACCAGAATAAAATGGAAAAAAAATAATCATTGCCTTTGCCTCTGAATTATGGTGTTGGAGAAGAATACTGAATATTCTATGGATTGCTAGAGGAACAAACAAGTCTGTCTTGGAGGAAGTGCAACCAGGAAGGATGATGGAATGCCTCTAACATACCTTAAGCAACTGTCAAGAGAGTCTTGTCTTTTGAAAGTGATATTATGCTGGGGAAGAAAAAGGAAGGCCAACCCTCAACGAGTGACTGTCACAATGGAAACTTGACCATATCAAAGATGGTATAGGGATAGGGCAAGTTTCAGATCTAGTGTTTACGGGCTCCTTATAAGTTACATCACGTCGTCTCCAAGGAACATGATTCTGGGAAGGGTGGAGGGTCGGTGAAGGAGAGGAAGACCCTCAACCAGGCAGATTGACACAGTGACTGCTGTAATGGGCTCTTGTGTGTTAGGAAGGGTGAGGATGGCGCAGGACAGGACTGGTTTCTGATCTTTTATTCATAGGGTGGCTTTGAGTCATATTCAACTCGATGGCACCTAACAACAACAACAACAACAACAACAACAACATAAGTTGTAGTCAATTTAACTTCACCTAACAACATAACAACAGCAGTATACTTTTAAGCAAATGATATGTTACTTTGTAAATATTAAAAATGATGATCTAGTCTTTGACAAAGGCTTTCCCTTGCACTTACATCTTTGGATGGCCTCCTCAGAACGTCCCCGACACCTCCGCCATTCCTGAGGCCCTGGTTCAGGACCGTGACGATGCACATGAGGAGGGTGTCACAGGTCCTCTCAATCCCGTCCTCATACTCTTCTTCACCTGTAAAAATACAATAATTAAACATCTAACAGACATTCAAGAAATCTGTTATTAATGTATTCTCAATGGTCTAGTTACAAAATGTGTCATGAGACAATATTTTGAAGTTACATAATAAAGAAACACATGTTCATCGAGAAACACACAACTGACACAGAGAAATCTATACATGTAATGTCCCAAAATATTTTTTTATTCCAGATATAGAAAAGACAATGAAAAGGACAAAATAGAGAAAGGTTAATATGACGATGGTGATGGAAGACAGTGGCACCACCGCCTAAGTCGTCAGCACGCCCAGGAGACAAAGCTCTGTAGGAAAATGGATACGAACATGAGAGCGAACAAGACTTGGCTTCTAAATCTGCTCTGTGGCAATACTGAACTTTGAGCAAGCTATGCAATCTCATTGTCTTCATCTGCGGAATGGGAAAGGTTGTTTAAGGATTAAGCTCTTTATAGGTTTGTGTAAGGATTACATTTAAGATAACACGTTGCACAGAGTGGATACACACACACACACACACACACAACTATAATTTCATTATTTTGGTTGCCTAAGCTTTCTTAATGATCAATTTATAGGTACTGATGAGTAAGCCCAAGGTACTTATATGTAAAGTTCTATGTAAGGAGAAACATTACGTACTTATGTGTAAAGTTCTATGTAAGGAGAAACAGGGAAAGAGAAAAGGTATGAGAGTAAAATTGGCTTATTATTTTTCACATAAAGTTTATCATATTTACAACATAATTTCCAAGTCACATAATATAGGGAAAATTTCATATTAACTTAAATACTTGTTGTTAACTGCCATTGAGTCACCTGCAACTCATAGTGACCCTATGTGCAAGAGCCCTAAACGTGCTCTATCCTGTGCCAATATCACTGTCTCCGACACACCCATCCCGATTAGCCCAGTCACTGAGTCAGTCCATCTCGTTGAGAGTCTTCCTCTCCTACGTTGTCCCTCCATCCTCCCAGGCATGATGTCCCTCTCCAAGGACCAGTTCCTCCTTACAACATATCTGAACTTTGTCAGAGGAAGCCTATTCAATATTGGTCAAGAGGAAGCAATACATTTCCTCATTACAATGATAATTAGCTACATCCCTGTTGAGTACTATCAAGACAAACCTGATTCACAGCGAACCTACATGACAGAGTGTAACTGCTCCATTCAGTTTTCTACACTCTAATCCTTTTGGGACCAGATCTCCAGACATTTTCTCCCACAGAGACACTGATGGGTTTGAACTACTGATTTTTTTGGTTTGCTGCCAAGCATTTAACCACTGTACCACCACAGCTCAGTTTTACATTTTAGGGTTGTATAGTCACACTCTACATGCTAACACAGAAGTGCAAAAGGAACAACAAAAAAAAAATTAATTTTATCTACATGACTCAAGTCCAACCATTGTTTGATATCTTTTTTAAATTGTTTGATATTCCTCTTCTGAATTGATTTTATTTTAGCATCACATGGAAAAGAAGTCCCCTACATTCTTATTTTAATTTAAGATGTTGCTTCTTGAAATATGTTGGATGCACCTCAAGACGAGGACGGAGCTTAGATGGTTAAGTACAAAAGGCAGCACTGGAGACCTCTGCTAAGGGCGGGTGAGACCCGCTTGACCACTTACCTTCAAAGTGAGCCCAAGGCACATTCTGATTTAGAAAGCAGGAGAACTAGATGTCCCTGCGGAGGAAGGAAAATGGGGAAGAAGGATGGCTTGTGGCGGCAGCAGTCAGGGCAGCAGTAGATAAGGAAGCCAGAGAAAGCAGTGGAGAAAGCCCAGGCTGCACCATGCTGGTTAGGCTCCCAAAGCCTGTGGTGGGTTCTAACATGATGGCTGAGAAGGATGAGAGGAAAAACAGTTAGAAACGTGTCAGAAAGTTAAAGTGAGTTTTAAGGGGAACTAGGTTTTTGGAATAATGAGGCCATCTGGAATATGTCTACATGCTACACTGTAATGGTTAGTTAGACTTTCAATCAAAGCAATCATACATCTAGTGACATGATCTGCATTCACTTATGCATTCAGCAAGTACCAGTTCTTGTCACAACAAATGTTTACGAGTATAAGTGCCAGATTAATTAGGGCATGGAAGCTACCAGGAAGTTCTCCCACCTCTTTCCAAGAATTTGGAAACGAAGCTGCTTGTTCTTTAGAAGTGAGCTCCACACACAATTCACTAACAGGTTAGTTTTTGTGCGTGTGTGTGTGTGGCGGGGGGTGGGGGGGAAGGACAGATTGCTTTCAAATCTTTATTAAGAAAACCCGCTTTCTATGTGGCATGCAAAAAGGGGAGAACGGTCGTGTCAGGTCTATGCTAGCAAGAGTCTGGTCATTTTCGCTCAAACATTATCAGGACCCTGGCATTCTGGCTTGATATATTAGCCTCTCTGAGCTTGGTTCATGCATTCCACCCTCATGATATGATGCCAGGTTCCCAAGCCTTTAGGCTGAAAGCCAGATTCTGAGTCATGGTAAACTCAGCAAAGTAAATGCCACCTTGTGGAGACCTACCTGCTGCCCTTGCTCCTGTTACATTAGCTCTTTCACTACACCAGTAACCTCTAGATCCACCATTAAGTATTCAGGTAGGAACTAGGAAAGTATCTCTGTCCATAAGACACTTGGGGGCACTAGGAACAACAGGTCAGCAGCTAGACAAAAGTAGTACTACTGGGTGCAATGGAGGCATGAGAGAGGTGCTTCTTACAGACACTGTGACAGACAGCCTCTTGAGTGGAGTCCTGAAAAAGGGACACAGTTAGCCAGCAAATTAGTGAGATAAGACATGCGAGGCGGATAAAAACGGGCTGTGTGAAGTCAAACATCCACACAAGCAGGCGTAGGCTTATATGGAGTGTTTGTGGAAGTGCAAGTGGATTGCAGTGGCTGGGGTTTGGGCGTGTACAGGAAACTGGTGAAGACGTGAGAAGAAAAGCAAGCAGAGTCAGGAAGAGCTTCACATACCAAAGTTTATAACCGAAGAGTTAAAACTTTATCCTGAGAGCCACCGGAGAATTGCAAACAGGGGCAGGGCAGTCACCGTCCATGTTTGTTGTTGGTGGGGGCTGCCAATGAATCAGTTCCCAACTCATGCTGTCCCGTGCACAGTGATAGTGGTGGCTCACTGGCTGAGTTGTTTCGTTTTTTAAATAGATCACTGGGGTTTTTCTTCCTTAGTTATTCTTAGCCTGGAATCCCAGCTGAAACCTGATTGGCATCGCAACAACACGGAAGGGACCTGACAGACTGGTAGAGGCTTTGCCTGAGATGCACTGGCTGTGAAGCGAGCCAGGATCTCTGGCATGGAAAGAGAATTTTCCCCCAGTGCAACAGCAGTTCACCTTATACTTGGTAAAACATAATATATATATATATAAAATATATGTGTGTAAACAAGACAAATTAATATGTGTTAAATGCCACAGAAAGGAGACAGAGTTCAGACAGGGGAACCCATTACAAAAATGGAGACACTAAGCTCAGGCTTGAATATTCAAAAGAGTATAACAGGAGTAGAAAGCATGTCACTTGGCAGAACAGAGGTAGGATAAATGGATGTTTAGATGTTTCACAGCAAACAAACTGTTACACATGCATAAAAGGAATGGAAGATAAAGCTAGAGGGCTTAACTGGGAGCTCTCTATGAATCTCCGAGGAGTTCAGATTTTACTCAGAAGTCAATGGAGCATCATGGAAAGGCTGAGCTGTGAGTAAGGGAGGATATAGTCAACGCAGTGGCTTCTGACGAGCAGTCTGGCAGTGAAATACTGGGTGAACTGAAGAGAGGAAAATGACTGCAGGTAGAAAGACCACTTAGTAGGTGGCTGTGATAATTCAGGCCTCAGCAGGTAATGGCAGTGGGAAGGGAAAGGATGTGAGAGGCATTGCAAGGGATGAATGACCAGTAGCTGATGGTGCTTTAGGTAGGAGGAAGAAGACAAAGGCAGCATTAAATATTATGCTGAGGTTTCCAGTCAGGGGTGACTTGGGAAAAGGCTAGATGGCTCCATTAGACCACAGAAACAGACAACTTAAAAGGAAGAACTAGATTTAAGGTGTTTTGATGAAGACAAGGAAAGAATCTCAGATGATTTTTATGCTTATTAGGTGAAATGAGAAGGCATTTTTAAAAGTTAAGAGAGAAGAGTACTAATTGGGAGCACAAATTTAAGAAAGAAAATAATGCAAAAATGGAAAAGGTGACAAGAAATGTCAAAATTACAGAATAATCAAAGGCAAGGAAAAATTAGAAGAGGCCACTGGATTTCTCATAGAAAAGGCCACCGGATTTATCAATCAGGTCATCAGAAAGCTGTATGAAGACACAAATCATTAAGTGGAAGAAACTGAAGGAGGCAGTGTTTCATGGTTAAATTAGGCACTAGAAAGAAGATGGATAATACCTTTAGGGGGTAAAAGAACCCAGAAGGAAGTACAATTAGGAAAAGAAGAGAAGAAGTGACTCAATGGTAGAAGCCAAAGTGGGAGACCTGGGTCAGATTCTCCACCAGTGCACCTCGTCTGCAGCCACCACCCATCTGTCAGCAGAGGTGTGAGTATTGCTGTGATGCTGAGCCTATTTCAGTGGGGCTTCCTGCCTAAGACTGATTAGGAAGGAAAGCCTGGAACAACCCCTAACCTCAGGCAATGAAAATTCTACAGATCTCAAGGGTCCAATCATCTGCAATTTATCATGTGATGGTTCAAGACCAGGTAGCATGCTGTTCCCTGTGCACAGGGCCAATTCAACACCTGCTAATAACAACAACAAAGAGTACAACAGGAAGAGAGGGCGCAGACAGTAGTAGAAACAAGATTTAAGATGTATATGGTGAAAGATGCCACTCAAAAAACTCTAACTCTACCAACGAAGAAGTTGATCTTTTAATTTTCAAAGAGAGGACTGAAATTAGCAGGAGGGGTGTAAAGAAAAAAAGTGCAACAATGAATGAATGAAAACCCAAAATCTCCGTAA